ATGTTTTGTTAACTTTTTAAAGAATATCCCTCTCTGATACTACAACAGGTGATGGGGGAATACAGAATTCTTAATTGTGACCTAGAATACTCAATAGCATATTACTTATGCTTTCCAGATCCCAGCGAATGTGCATGGGATTGTGTGGGGCAGGGGGCAAGAGAATAAATATCCAATATAATGGTCATTTAAACCAATTTTTAAGAAAACGTTTTAGGTCTCTTGAAATCTACTGAGTAGCTAAACGTTATTATATTGTACCACACAAGGCTGCAGAGGTAGTATGACATAGCCCTTGATAAGGATGTTACAGAGGCCCTGAAGAAAATCCTGAGTAGAATCTGATTGTTTAAAATTAAGTATGTGCTTAAATACTTTACTGTAGGAACGGCTCTGAATCATTCAGCCTGACAGACGAAGACATACAGTACATATTAGTGTGGTCTTTGTAACCTGTTACTAGGTCAGTTTTAACTTTCAAGAGTCTTAAGAACATAAGCGGTGCCTATAAACGTGCTGGGAGGCTGCTTCAACACGCTGTAAAATTAAGAGCCAGCCTCCATGTCTTGTGTATTAGGCCTGTGTAAGTAGGCAGCTATTTGATCCAGCTTCAGATCCAGCTGCTTCAGATGCCAGGGATCCGATCCGGAGCTCTTGACTGGGTTTCTGCTTCGATCCAGCCAAAGTGGCTCTGAAGACTTGGAAATCTAGCCATAGGGTATAATGAGGAATCAATGACATATCTATAACTTTGTTGTTTTTTGTCTTATTTGGATAAAATTTTCAGGGGTTTTAGCCTCTGCTGAGAGCATGAAGCCTGCCAAGTTTCAAGAAGATGGGTGCAGGGGTTTGGGTGGGGAACTGCACCTCAAGCTGCAGACAAGCAAACTCGTGACATAACACACCCAGTGTCTCCTAAGGCACAGCAGGGTGAAAGCTACAGGGATGGTAGCCTGCTGCAGCCATGCAGTCTGCCAGCTGTCAAGGAGATAGGTACAGCGGTTCTGGGGCCCTGCACCTCTGGCTCCTGACAGACAAAACTTGTGACATGGGTCACATGGGTGACATGGGTGCTTATGCAACTGACTGTCTCTGTCTTGAGGCAGTTGATTGTCTGTATTGATTATTGTTTCTCCTTAGTCTGTGGTTCTGTAGGTGTTAATTGATGCTAATTAACTGGTTACATTAGCTAGCAACTGTGTATTGAGCTGGTCCCTAAGTGAATTATGATTGATTGGTAACTGGTAACACAATAGCTTAGCAGCCAGGCCTGCAGTACTTTCCCCGCACCTCCCCCCCACCCCAGACAAACACAGTTGCACAAGCACCCATGTCACAAGTTTTGCCTGTCACCAGCTAGGGGTGCAAGGCCCCAGAACCCCTGCACCAATCTCCTCGACAGCTGGCAGGCTTCGTGGCTGCAGCGGGGTGACCATCCCTGCAGCTGTCACCCTGCTGCGCCTTAACACATACAGTGTCACCCATGTCACATGTTTTGCTTGTCCACAGCTTAAGGTGCAGTTCCCCCCAAACCCCTGCACTTACCTCCTTGAAACTTGGCAGGCTTTATGGCCTGAGCAGGGGCCACCACCGCTACAGTTTTCAGCCCACTGCACCATAACCCACACAGGATCATGTATGTCATGACTTTTGCCTGTCAGCAGCTTGAGGTGAAGTTCCCCCCCAAACCCCTGCACCGATCTTCTTGAAACTTGGCAGGCTTTGTGGCCTCACCAGGGGCTACCATCTCTGCCCTTTTCATGCCCCATGTGTTGTAACACATAGACGTGACACAAGTTTTGCTTTCAAGAATTTGGGGTGCAGTTCCCCCCAAACCCCTGCACTGATATTTTTGAAAGTTGGCAGGCTTTATGCCTTTATGCTCTCAGCAGAGGCTACAACCCCTGCAAATTCCATCTAAATCAGACAAAAATCAACAAAGTTATAGATATTTCATTGTTTCCCCATTATACCGTATGGCCAGATCTCCGAAGCGCTTCAGAAGCTCCGAACCGCTTTGGAAAATCTAACGAAGCCAGGGCTTCGATCCGGACTTGTTGCTTCAGATGACCAAAGTGTCCGAAGCTGCTCCAGATCTGAAGCACAGTCCGAAGCCTCGCACAGCTCTATCGTATATCAGCATCCCTACACTTCAAAATGGGGTGGGGGGGGTCTTTAACTAAAGCTCATTTAATGAGCTTTAGTTGAAGTCCCTCTGCCACCATTTTGAAGCATGAGGACACTGACACATAAGATGCTGTGGCACTTTAATTAGAGCAGCTCTCGGGGCCACCCACAGAACACATCTAAAAATGCCCAAGACAACTATACTGGGTCAGACCAATAGGTCGATCTAACCCAGTATCCTGTCTCTGACAGTGGCAAGAGTGGAGGCTATAGAGTCAGAGCATTGAGCCAGATATCTCTAAAGTGATTTATCCCTTATTCAATACCTTCCCTGGCATCCACCATTATTGGTTTACAGATGCCAGAGGAAACAGCTCTAATCATTATGTTCAATAGCCATTAATTGATCTATCATCCATTAATTTAAGCAGTCCCTTTTTGAACCTGGCTATGCTATTTGCCTCCATCACCTCCTGTGACAATGAATTCTACAAGTTAACTACTCATTGAGTTAAAAGTACCTTCTCTTCTTGGTTTTAAGTCTGGCACCTACTAATTTCAGTGAGTGCCCCCTAGTCTCAGCACTCTGAGATTTGGTGAGCAACAGTTCCTTATTCACTTGGTCTATCCGCTTCATGATTTTATAGACCTCTATCATATCCCCCCCATCAGCCTTCACCTTTCCAAGCTGAAGTCTTAACCTTTTTAGTCTCTCTTGATATGGCAACTGCTCCATGCCTCTGATCCTTTGACTGCCCTTCTCTGAACCTTTTCCAGTTCTACTACATCATTTTTGAGATGTGGGGACCAGACCTGTATGCAGTATTCAAGAAGCAGATGCACCATGTAAACTATCTATAATGATTCCAAGGTCTCTTTCCTGAGTTGTAACAGCTAATTCAGAAACTAGCCGTTTGTATAGTTACGGTTATTTTCCCCACCTTGCACTTGTTGACATTGAGTTCACCTGCCACTTTTTTTGCCCACTCATGCACTTAGCTTGGTGATATTGTTCTGCAGCTCCTCTCCAACAGTTTGACTACCCAGAATCATTTGGCATCATCTGCAAATTTGGAGATTTCACTGTCTAACCTCAGTTAGAATCATAGAAAATTGGGGTTGGAAGGGACCTCAGGAGGTCATCTAGTCCAACATCCTGCTCAAAACAGGGCCATCCCCAACTAGATCACCCCCACCAAGGCTTTGTCTAGCTGGGTCTTAAAAACCTCCAAGGATGGAGATTCCACGACCTCTCTGGGCAACCTGTTCCAGTGCTTTACTACCCTCCTCATAATAAAGTTCTTCCTAATATTGGGGGTCGGACTCGATGATCTATTGAGGTCCCTTCCAACCCTAACATCTATGACTATCACTGCTATGAATATCTAACCTAAACTTCCCTTGCTGCAACTTGAGACAATTGCTTCTTGTTCTGTCATTTGCCACCACAGAGTACAGTCTAACTCTATCCTCTTTCAAACTCCACTTCAGGTAGTTGAAAGCTGCTATTAAATCCCTTCTCAGTCTTTTCTTCTGCAGATTAAATAAACCCAGTTCCCTCAGCCTGTCCTCAGAAGTCATGTGCCCCAGCACTCTCACCATTTTCATTGCCTTCCACTGGACTCTCTTCAATTTGTCCACATCCTTCCTGTGGTGGGGGGAGCCCAAAACTGGATGCAGTACTCCAGATGTGACCTCACCAGTGCTGAATACAAGGGAAGATTCATTTCCCTCAATCTGCTGGCAACACTCCAAATATGCAGCCCTGTATGCCATTAGTCTTCTTGGCAACAAGGGCATGCCAAGACTTATATTCAAGCTTATATTCATCTTATTGTCCACTGCAACCCCTGGATCCTTTTCTGCAGAGCTGCTGCTTAGTCAGTCAGTCCCCAGCCTGTAGCAGTACATGGGATTGTTCCATCCTAAATTCAGCACTTTTCAATTGTCCTTAGTAAACCTCATGAGATTTCTTTTGGCCCAGTCCTCCAATCTGTCAATGTCTTTCTGAATCTTACTCCTACCCTCTAGCATATCTGATATTCCTCCCAGCTTGGTGTCATCTGTATACTTCCTGAGGGTGTATTCCACCCCATCTACCAGGTCACTGATGAAAATATTGACTAAAATTGGCCCCAGGACCAACCCCTGGAGCACTCCACTTGATACCGACTGCCAACTAGACACTGAGCCATTAATTACTACTTTCTGAGCCCGATGATCTGACCAGTTTTCTATCCACCATTTCCTGGTCATTGATGAAAATGTTGACCAAAACTGGGACCAGCACATATCCCTGCAGGACCCCACCTTGTCTTCCCTCCATCCTGAAAGGTGACCATTTAGTGACCTACTCTTTGCTTCCTATCTTTTAACCAGGTCTCAGTCCAGAAAAGAACCTTCTCTCCAATCCCAAGACAACTATGCAAAATACAGGTTTTCCACAAGTAGTAGCATAACTTTGTCAAGTCAAATTATTTTGAGTGATTCTCATTCTCTAGTTGTCTTTAGTCTCTTCTTTCTGTACATTGTTTTTTCTTCATTGGCCCCAACTCAAATCTAGAGAGCTTTCCCAAAGGTTCACCCAAACATCAGCATGCCTGCAAATTATAATGCTCACCAAACTTTGTGGTTGACACAATTGATTTTATGACCCTATGTCTTATATACACTGTTTGAGGACATGTTTTTCCAGAGACCTCTGGAGTAACTTTGTAATAAAATGCAGCATTTGTTTCCTATTGAACTACTTCTGTTGTAGGGATGCCTTCCTATTCCATCAACAAAGTGATTCCTATTGCAAATCTTTGCTGGACCAAGCTATTAGAACTCAATTAACCATGCCTTTATTGCATTGGTATTGTGTAAGTTACCTCTACTTTAGCTTTAAAATAAGCACAGTCAAAGAGGAGGTTTTCAGTCTCTGTGCTGGATCCAGTGTATTGAAGCTGAGCAAAGGATAGCAATTCAGCTTTAGATGCTGCATAGTCCCTGCAATGAGAACAAGAACAACAGCAACCATATAAACACCAACACAAAATTATCTCCATAAAACATAATGAAGAGCACATTAATCTCAGCACCTTGCTTTATATTAAGCAGTATCCTAAGAGGAAACCTTATTCTCTCAACTCCCATCGACTTGCATATAAATCTAATTGAGAGCTGGATAAAGCTCTTCCTTATCAATTGTTCTTAAATTTAATCTCCACAGACATGATTAAGAAAATAGAAATTAAATCCCAAAATAGAGACTTACAGATTTACCCAAATGTTGTCCTGCTTTAAAGGACAGCAAGAATCAACAAACTAAGCAGTAGGTTTTGCATATGTCTCTGAACAGCATGAAAATTAGTATAGTACCATATTGTAACTGACTGTCAGTGTTTGCCTGAAAACTACATCTCCATTGCCCATGATGATTCTCCTGAAAAATAAGTGGGGACCAGATTCTATCTGACCTGTTTGCTGCTGAAGTGGCCTTATGCACCTAAGGGCAATTCTATTCCTCCCTGAAGTCCCTGTAAAACTGTTAAAACCAAAGTGGGCAGGTCATATTCCTCCTTACTGCATTTTGTGATTCAATCTTAAAGGCCAACTTCTTCCTGATATAAAAAAATAGAAGCAGTAATGGATTTTCAAGGATTTGAACAGGGTGGAACAAGGTGGAATAGAATTTCCCATGTCTATTTGGACATTTAATAGGTAGCACAGACTCTGGCCCTGGATTTCTCTGAGTCATTGGTGCAGCTGATTGGTCAGCTCACCAGAACACAGACAGAGGTAGGCAGAAGGAGACATAAGATTTGGGAATCTGAGGAACAAAACATAAGCCAAAGATTTGAAACACAAATAACTAAAGTTAAGCTTCTATATTTATAGTTAGCAGGGCTGGTCAAATCTTTTCCAACAAAACTTTTTTTAATGAGAAATTGTTTTTCCAATTAAGTGTTTTGTTTTGGGGGTTTTTTTACATTGCACTGGGGGTGAGGCGGGGGGGGCGGGAGGAGGCAGAAAAACAATAATCACCTCCTTCCAGATATTAAATTTTTGGAGCTTTTATTTTTTTTTTTGGTATGAAATGCCCATTTTGTTTTCATTAACACAAATTAAATGAAAATTTACTTGTCATCTACTTTTCCAAAGAAAGCAAAAACCCATTTGTCGACCAGTTCTAACAGTTAACTAATTTCAGGGGTGCTTTTGCAGCATAGCTTTTCCTGAAGTCGATGGGAACTGCAATAGCAAAGCATTTTTGTCTATATTTGGATTTAGGTGTCATGCTTAGAAATAACAGCCCTAAGTGCAGTTCAAGTGAAAGTAGCCTCTTGGGGGAAAGGGGAGAAGGGGAAAAGAGGGAACTGGAAGACCACAAGAGGGTTCAGAGTAGAATTTCCTTGTGATTAACATCTACTATATATCTGGATTAAATAATAATTCAGACTCTAGCAGGAGATAATTCAGTAAAGCGCAAAGGAAGTCCAAGAAAAATAACGTGGAGAAAGTATACAGTCACAGCATCTTATAAAATACTGTATTTAGTCACAAACCACAAGGACTTCTCCTACCAAAATTGGGGTGCTTTTTTAAAGCAGAGAAGCTGATTTTTGTTTACTGAAACAGAAACATGGAGATGCTAAGCTATAATGGCTACTGAAATGGCTTCCCCTTCTCACTGGCTCAGCAAGCAGCAGGGATCAGATTTAACTCCCTCAAAGCTGCTATTTAATTAGCAGTAACTTTTGGCTGTGGTCATCATTCTGGAAAAAAAAAAAATTCTACATTCAATCTTCTGAAAGTAATAAGGTGCATGTCTTTATCTAGGGGCATGTGATATGTGAGAAAATATGCCATACCCACAAGAGTCAATCCTAACTACCCACATATAGATTGCTGTCATGTTGGATTTTTGGTGATTTCTAAAATACAGAACACAGTGTGCACCACAAAAGGTTTCACTGAATATTTAAAGGTCCACTGCTAGAAAGCCTTCAGTAAGAGAGTTCAGGATGGGCTCTTTGAAGACCCCAACTCACCAAGGTGCTTGTGCATAGACCTATCATTAAAAGCAGGACCTAAGGGTATAATAATTCTCATCTGTATTAATTAAAAATATAAAATGTTTTCATGGCTATTTAAAAACAACTAAGATAGATAGATAGATAGATAGATATATAATTTTTTTTTTTTTTTTTTTTTTTAAGTTTTCCTCTTGTGGCTACAATAGTCTTAAAGAAAATCAAATGTTGAGCTTCCCAGCCCCAGACAATGTTGAGTCTCTTGTTGCTTAGATTCCTTGGAGAGTTTTGATGTTTAGTTTTTCAAGTTTGCTTTTCTTCCGATTTAATACTGGTGCTTTTTTTCTATAACTAGCACAAAACCTCAGTAGTCTTTAACAGGAAATCTCATAAGACTCAAAGTCAATATGGGCTGAAGGGGTAATCCTAGCAAACTCTTTTCTGTTGGAATCCCTAGGCCTAAAATGAACTTTTGAAGCTGACAAACACATATAAAAGAGAGAAATGGATCCAAATTATCATATGGATACATAATTAATTACCCATGTATGTGTATATACACATGTGCGAGCACATATACATGTACACACTGATATTTCGAAAGATGGAAAAAGAAGGATCATAGGATGATGACCAGTATAAAGTTATTGTCAATATTAACATAGAATCAGAGAATAGTAGGGCTGAAAGAGATCTCAGGAGGTCATCCAGTTCAACTCCCTCCTCAAGGCAGGATCACCCTTGACTAAATCACCCCAGGTAAATGTTTATTTAAGTAGTTAAGGGTCTGCCTATTTGTACTGTGCTAATAGCTAGATCACCTAAACAGGCCCTGAAGCCCATAAACTTAACTTACCATATTTACTCAAATCCAAGATGAGTTTTTCCTCCCATTCAACCTATGGGGGGAAGCCCCTCATCTTACATTCAAGTACAAGTGGAAAGGGGGAGGAATGGTGCAACCACTGCTTCCCCACACACCTGTCTACCCACAGGCTGTGCTCCCTATTGCCACCCCCTCTGCCACCACCACCATCACTTACCTTCTCATCAGAGCTCCAGTTCCAGCTGGTAGGACAGGAAGCAAGGAGTATGAATTGCTTCCAGCCCCACCACGGCCATGCAATAGTGCAGGCAGTTCTGGGGCTGTCTTTGAGGCAGGCTCTGGGGCTTCTGCATGTCTGGCTTGCAACTGCAGGCAGCATGTGCTCTGTGCTCTCTGCCCTGGGCCAGAACAGGGGTCTAGCCAGAACCAGAACTGCAACAGGAAAGTAGGCAGTGGTGGCAGGGGGTGGAGGGTAGAGCAGAGGGCAGGCAGCAGGGGGTAAGGAGGAGGTGGGACAAGTGGTGAAAAGGATAGACAGGAGGTACAGGCACCACAGGCAGGAAGGCAAACAAGGACCGGAAGGGAGGGCAGGGGTCAGGTCACTTGGTTCTCCTTTGGCTTTCCTTTGACTGCTGGTTGCCCTGCTGCAGTGGTTGGGGGTGCAGACTTAAGATGACCTTCCAAAAATTAGATTCTGTAATCTAATTATTGCAGGGGTTGTCTTAAATTCAAAGTCGTCTCGGATTCAGGTAAATATGTTAATAAAAAATGGTCACCGACACAAAGAACTCAGAAACTAAGGAATAAAGCATAACAATTTGTAACTTGAAAATCATATGTTGTTCCCAAACTTTACAGCACTTCACATCAGTATGCAACTTGCAAACAAAACTATCAACACAGAAGCACAAAATATTTGCAAAAATGTTTTATGGTTAAAGCTGAGCAAAATTCAGAATTTCAATCTCTGAGAACTTGTGACATTTTACCTTTTTTTGTTCCAAAAAATTATATAAAAGTTTAAATCTATTTTTTTTCATAGAAAAAAAGAATTTTAGAACAATTGCTGATTGGAATGAAACATTTTGATGGAATGGAAATGTTTCATTTGAGCTTACTGAACTGACCATAAATGCTTTATTTTGAGCAAGTATTAAAGTGCATTTTTCTATTCCAGTGCCCTGCCTCATGAGAATTATAGTTCAAGAGCCTGATGTTATGCTCCATGCCCTCCATTCTAGGTCAGACTACATTTCCTTTAATGGATCCAGAATTGTTCAGCTCCCAGGTCATATCGCAGAGCTCACTCAGAAGGAAATACACTTTAGGAACTGCAATTTTGCGAACTATTAACTCTTCAGGCATTCTTGCCCATAGTTGAAAATGTGATCCAACCTATATCTCCTATTCAGCACCAGATCAATAAAGGCAAACAAGTTTAAATTTTTCAACTGAACTAAATCAAATTCATTTTTGTTTGAAATGAAAACATGCAGTATCAATTGAACAAAACAGAGTATTCCAACTAGAGTAGAACTAACCTGAAGCAAAATAGTCATTTTGGAGTTTTCCCATAAAATTAAAAACTTCTTGCAAATTCAATATTTTTCAAAAATGTTTTTTGTGGAAACTGCATTTTTACCCATGGAAAATTTCTGATAAGGTCTTGTCATTGTGCATTCTGACCTATATATACACACACGTAGCCTTATTATATACCCTTCCAAATCAGCTTTCAGGTGAACACTAAATAATTTATATTGTTAAGCTAGAGGCATTAATGCTTGCCATTAATCAAAGAGCTGCCTAAGGCTGATGGGTGTGTTTATGTGTTCATAATTCTTCTTCCAGACTAACTGAAAGGAGCAATTAAACCCCTTTAAAAAAAGAGAGAGAAAGCAGCAGATAGTAGTAGCTACTGCCCAAGAGAGTCAGAAGTCTGAATAGGGCTAAACTATCTGGTCTGGAAAATGCAGGGGCTAGAGGATTGTTTGGGAAGCTATGAGCTATAACAGAGGCTTATGGCCAGGAAAAAAACAGAAGAGAAGTAGTTATGAGAATGGCTATGAGGAGGAGTAGCAATACAAAACTCCTTGCAGCACAGAACTGTTAGAAAAGAGACTTAGAAAACAAGAACAAGAAAACTGACTGCTGTTGTTTGTTTCTACAGTGCTCAGAGAAACAGTACAGTCTTCATAAATAAACAGGTTTGATCTGAAGCAATGCCTGACACACGCCATCAATTGTTCCTTCTAATGGAAACAAACTTGCAACTCTGAGTTAACTTCCTAGGTCAAGAGAACAACAAGATAAGTGTAAAGCAAGCAGCTATTTCTTGGATGTGTCTACACGTGCATTTGATGCAAGAGCAGTTTATTCGCAAGTAAATACTCCTGGGCAGGTGTCTACATGTGCAGAGAAGCGGGAGCAGATTTGCTGCTAATGGCAGCAAGACACCACCAGGGGGAGCTCTAGGTTCCCCCTGGGAGCTGCCCAGGGCCTGGTAAGGAGGACCAGGCCAGGAGACATCTGTGTCCTGGCTGGGGCTGGGACATTGCACCCTACCCCCAGGGGGCTGCCTGTTGATGGGACAGAGACAATGTCCCCCTAGTCCAGCAGCAGCAAGAACAGAGCATGGAGAGCCTGTTCCCCACCCAGCTCCATGATCACAGAGCTGAGTGGAGAACAGGTTCCCCAGCCCTCACCAGCAGGGAGCTCCCAGTGCCGGCTCTGTGGTTGCAGAGTTGGTGCTGGGAGATCCTTATGTCTGGCAGCAAGGAGCTCTAGCCCCCTATTATCCAATCATGATGGTGAAGTGGGGGCTGAGAGGTAAGGATCTCCCAGCACCCACTCCCTGGCCACAGTCTTAGAGTGAGGGGCTTGGAGCTCCCTGCTGCCAAGGAAGGGGGACATAGTCCTCACTTGGGTTCTGGCAGCAGAGCCTGCCCCAGCAGCAGACAGCTCCCAGGGACAGGGAGCAATCTTCCACCCCCTGGTGGCCAGTTGACCAGAAGCAGATTTGCTCCCAGTCAGGCATCTACATGAACACTACAGTGCAGTAAGTAATCGCAAGTAAATTTGCTACTTGCATTTGCAGGTAGCAAATTTACTCATGGTTAGTGATGTTTACTGTGCAGTAAGCATGTACATGTGTAGACACACTTGCTTACTGCGTAGTAAACTATGCTATGGCACAACCAAGTGTCTGGTGTAGACACACCCACTCAGAAGTTAGTTATTTTGTCACAAGTATTTGCTTAGTAACAAAAATTTCTTCTGGCAAAAGCCCAAGTAGTATCTAGAGGTTACCGCAAGAAGCCCAAGCCCCAATTTAGTACATAATTAAGTTTCATTATTTTAAATCTCACTGTGCACTTACACTTAATATATTTACATGTGTTGCTGAACTGTGGACCTGCTCATGAAAGCTAAAACAACATCATGTGGATTAGATGACCAATATTGTAACAGAAATAAAGGGTTACTCACATAAATATGCATAATCACAAGTCTGAATTTGTTTGCACAAGCAGTTCATAGACCGATTCTGAATAATGACCATACTTGTGAAACCAAGGTAATTCACAAGAAGTTAGATCAGAAACTAAACTCCCTAAATATATTCCTTCTTCCAAATGTTTCTCAATTTTTGATGGGTAGATAGGATACCCATCTGGTATGAGGAGTGAACTCTTTATCATGTACAAATTAATCACATCATTTTCCCTTGCTCAATTTGCCTAAGCATCTTTTCAGGAGTAGTTACATCCAAATCAAATATTAAAGGACACCATATTGAATTTCATACCAATGTTAATGTTAATTGCAGAGAGTTGTTTCCATTTGCTACAGTTTCTGGTATAGGCAGACATTACCTGTACATTTTAATGAGATTGCGAATGACCTGGATGACCAGAACTGCTCTGCGGAATTTACGGAGACTCTATAATACAAAAGGAATCACATGGTTACTAACAATGAATTAAGAAAATTCCTTCTAAATCTAATGAATTTTCTATATGCTTTTACCACTTATCTAAGAATATCTTGTTACCTTTTAAAGAATTAATATTCCTGAAGGAACAGGCAGAGGAGATCTCAGAGTCCTTTGCAATGATCTTCATGAAGGTGTGGAAGACAGGCCAGGTACCAGAGGCCTGGAAAAGAACTAATGTAGTTCCCCTCTTTTAAAAAGCGGCAAGAAGGAGGACCCTGGGAGCTACAAACCAGTTAGCCACACCTCAAGACCAGGGAAGTTACTGGACATATACTAAGAAAGGCCATGTATAAGCACCTGGAAGATTTCTGACTGATCACCAAGGATCTTGGTTTTCTCTGATAAAAAAAAAAAAAAAAGTCCCCAATTTTTGGATTAAAAAAATTAATCCAAAATCCACATTTTTTCATGATCAAAATGAAACACCACTAATCTATCTATATATATATAGATATCTATATCTATATATAGATATAGATAGATAGATAGATTAGTTGTGTTTCATTTTGATCATGAAAAAATATAGATTGAGTTAGTTTTTTTAATCTGGAAATTAGGGATTTTTTATTTATTTATTTTTTAATCAGAGAGCACGTTTGGCAGCGGATGCAAAAGGGGACTGGAAGTACTTCCAGGACCAGCACCAGGCACACGGGGGGCCTCCCTGTGCTCCTGTGGGATGCTCCATCCACCTCAGCATTACAGCATTCATGCCTGGTACCTTAAGGTATGTAGAAAAAACATTTAAAGCTCTGTCTACGGTCGAATTGCTGATTCTCTGAATCAGCATCAAATCTTCAGATTCAGATTCGGCTTAATTGAAATCGGGGATAGTGATCTGAATCAACAAATTGAATCGCTGTCCCCAATTTGGGCTGAATCCGAATTGAATATGGCCCATTTTGCACACCCCTAGTTCCTGGCTACAGTGTCTTGCCCCTCTGCTCAGGGTCACACTAATCACCATATTTGGGGTCAGGAAGGAATTTTACCACATGGCCAGATTGGTACAGATTGTAGGGGGTTTTGCCTTCCTCTATAACAGGGGCATGGCACTCTGCCCAGGACCTCTTGAGGGTATATAAACAACAATTTATAGAAGCAGGACCTTGAGTGGTGTGGTTCCCCTGCTTTACCTGTAGCAGGTTGGGTGTTAGATCAATGTTGTGTAAGGTTCAATGGTAGTCTTATGTAGCATTTAGTTTATGGTTATATGGGATGGCTTGGATAGGGATGATCTTGCTTCAGGCAAGCAGTTGGACTACATGACCTCTGGAGGTCCCTTCCGGTCCTACTTCTCTATGACTCTATAATTGTCACTGAAAAAAATCAGATGATGCTATTTCTTTTCCATTTTTCTGTATATGTGGGAATAGTTTTATGTCTGAATCCTATTGACTCTTTATGGGAATCTAGGAACCTAAAGCTTAGACACTTTTGAAAACTTTAACCAGTGTCTTTTTAGTGCAAACTTGAAAACAGAGGATTAAATCACTTCATCTGTCTATCTTCCTATTTGTCAAATTTTAGCAGGCCAGTTACCAAAGCATTAAATCCATTCTTAATATTAAACACATACTTAAGTCATCCCTAGTAAGCAAACCATCTAAGAGCATACTGGAGAGACTTAATCCCATGTTTAGGTGGCTTGCAGAATCAAAAGTTAAAGTTTCTAGGAAAGGAAGGAGGTTCCAGAATCAAGACTTAAATTTAAATACAGTCTAATAATTCTGCTTAATTATGGTCATTGATAACAAAATCCAAAAGCCAGCAGCAGGGTTCCTAAGTTTAAAATTCCCGTTAAAAATTGTCCATTCCATTTTCCATTTTAGTTCAGAACAATATTTGCCCTGTCATTTGGCTGTTATATACCAAGTCATGGCCACAAAGCCAGAGCTGAAAAAAGTAATAAGAAGAATTGTTGGTGCCACTACTGGTTTAAAGATTATGTGACTGATGCATACAGACTGTCTAGTTGTAGACAAATACAATACAATTCTGTGGCAGTTAGTATCCAGGCTGTCCAATATGAATTGTGCCTACCTGCAAAAGTATTCATGCACTCAATAATCAGTGTTCAGTATTTAAAATGCATTTCAGGCTTGTGCCCTCTCAGAACTGAAAAGAGACCTGGTATGAATTCATAATTAACAGAGCCAAGAGACCTGGTTCATCCAAGGTGTTAAAGACAGTCATTGGGCTAATGAGTTTTTCTATGAGATATTTATCATGTTAAACACATACACTAGCCTCAGTTTTTGGAAATGACCATGCGGTTCATTTGAAATACACATACAACACTGTGACCTGATGACCAGAATATGAAGATTTTTGTGCAATGTAGAAACACACAGCCTTATCAGTCTTTTTATTGTAAGCAAATAGGGATTTTATACTGTCTAGGATGATACAATGCATTGTTTGTAAACTGTTGGAAGGTCTCTTACTTAGGTCAATCAAACCCACCCCCCCACCTTTCTTTAAGGCAGGGGTGACAAACTCACTCTGTACCCCAAGCCAGATCCGGACTGTGGGGTTCCTTATGGTCCACATCTGCAGTCCCCTTGCTAACAACACTACCAAATTTGCTGGCTTAGTAGGCCAGATGAAAGCGCTCTATGAACCAGATCTGGTCTCAACTGGATATAGACACCTCTTCTTTAACTTAAACGGTGGGTCTTTTGTGGAACAAAAACATATCTCGTTATTAACAACATACCAGCTGCATCCTTATGATGATAAGCCTATAGAAGCATAACAATCTTTCATTATTTAGTGCCTACTTCTTTATAGATGAGACAAACATCCCTTTTGGAGTTTTTGTATGTGGGTGGGCATCTCTCTGTACAAGCCTTTCCGTTTTCATCTTTATACTATATCTATAATATGACAAATATTAGGAAAATAATTGCATTTTTGTGAATTCTGAACTCTTTTACAGTTCAGCTGTATTTACAAATGTTTGGCTTGTAAGGATTTGAGCAGACCACAGCTGCACATCAAAATTAAAATCAAAATTATTTTTCCATGGAAAATGCAAATTTTCAACAAAAAAAAAAAAAAAATCAACATTTTCTATAGGTGCATTTGAATTTTGCCAACTTTCTTTTTCAGTTTTCCATCAGGAAAATTGAAACAACAGGTTTCATTTCAAGCCAAACTGGCCTAAATCAAAGGATTTTATTTTTCTGAACTGAACCCATATGTTTTGCTTTTCAGTTAGACATTAAATTGCATTTGCGTTGGGTACATGGTCTCTTGTTACAGGAAGCTTCTGTGTACTGTAGCTTCTTGCATCATGCTCCCATTCTCTCCTGTAGGCCAGGCTTCCTAGTGAAACTACTTTTCACAAGATGCACCTCAGTCCCCACTTTGCCAGGGTTGTGAGGGAGGAGTAGGCTGACAAAAGATCATGGTCCTTGGAATAGACTGGGGACAAAGAAACCTGTTCTAACTCCCTTGAGGCACTCCAAGCAGATGAAATGCAAACTCAAGCCAATTCAACTTTGTTTTTCAGTGCAATGTGCTTAGATGAAATGCTTCAACTCAGGAATGTTGAAGGATTTCATCTTGATTGAGAAAGTGTCAAAACAAAATGTTTCAACTCTTTCAAATAATTTTTTCTAAACTTTTCCTTTCGCAAGATCTTGATATTTTGACTCTTTTGTTTTGATTTAGAGTACAAAAAAAAAAAAAAAAGAGTACAAATATTGGAATTTCCAATAGAACAGAGACTCCAAATTTCACTCAGCTCTGGAGAAGATATATTATTTATTTGATAATCTGAAAGAGAATTTTTAACAAATGTTAGTACAAATGATTGTTCATTTGAAAATTCATACTAGACATTTTTCCCCTTCATTCTTTCTTTGGAAAAAATTGAGCCACTCAATCATAAAGCAGACAAGTGTCCACAGACCAAGCACAATGCAAATGTGGACTAAACCCAAATAGTAAACAGCCCTAACCAACTGTTTGCAAACAACACACAGTCTGAACTTTAATCTTCATAACTAACTGGCCTATATTGATGGAAAATGAATTCTATTAGTAGAATTTAGAATGAAGTAAAATTGATTTGTAGTGAAAGAAAACATCCATTATTAATTGAATGTGGTAAGGTGTGCTTCACCCCTTCTGTTGAAACTGTGCTGCCGTGTAGAATTGAATGCAAAATTCCTCAGATCAGGGAAAGTCCAGTAATGAGGACATATGATGGAAGAAGGAGGCTCTTGGGCTCTGCTCCCAAATTTGTTTATGCATTTTGACTAATGACCTTTTAAAGCATAATGCATAATCAGTCTCTGGAGCAGAAACCAGAACCCATCCCCATCTTCCAGAGCAGTACCCACCTCACTGAGCTATGAAGTCACTTCTCCTCTTGTACTCTTTCCTTCAAGTACCGGGAATCTTGTTATTTTGGCTACACAGAGACATAATTTCATCAAGAGGAGACTCCTCATCTCAGCCTAGCCTGTAGCTGGATGGTTAAGTTGTTCCCCTGGGATGTGGGTTTACACTCATCAGGCTGAGACAAGCCCAGAACCCAAGTCACCAACTGCTTGACCTAGTGCACTAATCATCAGGCTATCACTTCAAAAAGGTGGGTGGCAGCTCTATCCCAGCTGTGTTTAACCCCACCCCCCCAAAAAAACCCCTGCAAGCCAGACACCTATACCCAAAAGGGCAATATAAATGCCTGAATCCAGATCAGTATTTAGGCTATGAATCCTAGTTTTACAAAGGTCCCTGACTCAAGTCAGCAGGTGAGGCACACTCCTGGGAGGCAGCAAATAAAGGATTGCATCTCTCAGGCTAAGAATGGTTGAGAACCAGGACTTCCCACTCAAGTGGTGTAACCACTGCCCTTCTTATGTAGGTGAGCAGTTGTGGTACGCTTATCCCCTCATCCTGCCACCCAGTTTTTGAAGGAAATTGGACACGTG